GCATCCCTCGGGCACCCCCCCTGCCCACCCCCGGGCATCCCTCGGGCACCCCCCCTGCCCACCCCCGGGCATCCCTCGGGCATCACCCCCTGCCCATCCCCGGGCATCGTCCCCGCTCCGCCCCAGCCTCCCCTCACCCCCCCGGCTGCCCCTCACTCTGCTCCGGCAGGGGAGGACGAGGGTCCCGGCCCCCTGCAGCTGCCGGCCTGCCCGGGGTGGGGTGAGCGGTGCCCCGGGGGGGCCGAGGGGCTCCCGGACAGAGCGGTTCGGCCCAGCCCCGCGGCGGAGCCGCCTGTGTCCCTCCAGCTGAAGCTCCCCCGGTTCAGCTCTTGTCTCCCGGTGCTGTCGCCGCCGCCGGAGCCCTCCGACCAAGCGGAGCGGGGCCCCGGATTCTCGTCTGGGCCTTGGCGCTCCCGGGAGTTCGGGGGGCGCGGCAGGGCCTCCCCTCCCGAGGGCAGGAAACGATCCTGGCAGGTCCTCTGAGGGCAGTTCTCTGTTTGACACTTCACGCGTGGCTGGGCATCGCGTGGCTCCTGTGGTGCCTGGTTTGGGGAGGGGGAAGGAGAGGTTTGGGTATAAATTGGAGGGGCTTGTTGTCCTGCCAGGGCAGCGTGAGGACCGAGGGGCTTGTGTGGCCCCTCACCACTGGCTGGGTCCCCACACAGGTGCCTCCATGCTCTGAAGGTGGGCTGGAAGGTGTGCTGGGCAAAAGCAGAGGAGGAGGAGGAGCAGAGACACATGGCCTTCCTCTCCCACGACATCAGCATGCTGCGGCTCTTCGAGACCTTCCTCGAGAACACCCCGCAGCTCACCCTGCTCCTCTACATTATCCTTCAGACAAACAAGGCTGAGATCTCCCAGGGTGAGGGATGTGGGGGTGCAGGCTTGGGGTCAGAGTGGGCTTGGATGGGACAGACCAGATGGGCTGTCTGGGGGCTGTAGGACCCCACAGGACACTTGCTTGAAGGGTCATTCTACTCCCATGTTACACAGGAGGGTGAACCCCTGTCCTGCACTCACATGCTGCAATGGACCGTGCTGGGCTCAGGGTGGGAAGGTTGGAGCTGTGACCACTGTGGTCATTTCCTTACATGCCCATTCCCATCCTCATTCCCAGGAGAGGCTGAGGGTCAGGCTGGGGAGCAGGGAGATGCCAATGTGGGTGTAGGTGGAGCACAGGCCTGCCTGTGTGGGCTCTGCAGGGCTACTCAGTCCCAGCGCTTCTTCTCCACCTTCTGGGCAAGGCCAGCACCAGCCTCCTCCTCAGGGAGGGCAGAAGGTTGAGGGAGAGAGGGGTGCTGAGGCTCTGACCCTGGCAGCAGCAGCTCAGTGAGCGGGGGGGGGGAAGCTCCTTGTAGCAGCACCGGGCAGGGGAAGGTTTGAGCCAGGCTGGGCCCTGTCTCGGTCTCCCCTCAGCATCTCCAACTCTGTTTGCAGGCCTGGGGATTGGCACTGCGCTCCTGTGTGTGTCCTGGTCTCTGCTGGACTACCACCAGTCCCTGCGCTCCTTCTTGCAGGACAAGTACGAGCTGAGCCGAGGCTCCTCCATCATCTACTTCCTGTGGAACCTCTTCCTCATCTGTCCCCGCGTCCTGGCAGTTGCCCTCTTCGCCCTGCTCTGGCCCTACGGCGTGGCTGTCCACTTCCCACTCGTGTGGCTGGCCATGTTCCTCTGGGTCAGCCTGCAGGGCACAAACTTCATGGAATCACCTGGCCCTGAGCAGCTTTACCGGGCCATGGTGGCTGTGATCCTCTACTTCAGCTGGTTCAACGTGGCGCAGGGGAGGACGCTGCACCGCAGCATCATCTACCACAGCTTCATCCTGGTGGACAGTACACTGCTGGCCCTCTCCTGGCTCTGGGGCCAGGCCCCCTCTGAGGACCACTGGTACCTCCTCCCAGTGGTCTTTGCCGCCCTGCCCTGCTATCTGCTGGGACTGGGGCTGAGGGTCACCTACTACAAGTGGCTGCACCCCAACAGGCAGGTGCAGCAGGAGGGTGGCTATGACGAAGTGGATGCCGATGGAGGGAGTGATGAGCTGGAGTTTCGCTCGTTCTCTGAGCCGGACCTTGTGAACAGGCGGATGCAGTGCCTGGCCCAGATCCAGTTCCCTGTCTCCCAGCTGGCACGGCAGCGCTTCCTGAATGGGGCTGCTGCCCTCGAGTCTGCTGCCTGAGGGCAGCTCCTCCAAAGGGACATGCAGGGGAGGTCTATTTGTTAGTTGTGGTCCTGGTTCTGCTCCCCCAGGCTGTTGTTTTGGGCAGCTGGAGAGACCTGGCAGGAATGAGGGATGATGTGGAAATGCCCAAGGAGTCCCATGGCACACAGCATGGCTCCCATGGCTGCACACTCAGGGAAAGCCACGGTGTTTGTGGCAGGTCCAGCACATTGTGGCATGTGGCAGGTCCAGCATGGGTGCAGTGCTGTGTCAGCTTTCCTTGTTATTTATTATTAGCTTGTTCAAAAGAAAAACCCCAAGAGCACTGGTTTGTTCTCTCTGTGCCTCTCCTGTGCCTGCTGCTGCCGTTGCTGCGCAGGGATGTGGGAGCTCGTTTCCTCCGTGGCTGTGGCTATCTGACCTTTGTTTCCAGACAGAGTTTTCTTCCTTTGTGTGTTAGTTTTGGTATCAAGGTCAAAGCTCACCTGTTATCACCATGTTCGGGGAGGGATGGGAAGGCCTGTGCTGACAGAGTGGCTGCAGGGTGGCTTGGTGCTTCTGGCTTATTATGGACACCTCGTGCTCCCTTGGCTGCCATTCCCACCACCACACCCTGGGCAGTGCTCCTAATGCCATAGCCAGGCTGCAGTTGGCCATGGGCAGTTCTCAGCCATAGGTGGCTGTGCATGTGGTCAGTGTGGGGCTGTGCTGCCACCTGGGCACAGACACCCACCCAGCTCCCAGGCAGGGAGGTCCCGAGATTCATGCCAAAACCCAAGCAGGCCCCAGAGCAGCCTCTGCCTCTTTTGCTGTTGCCCAGTTGGCAGCTGTGGCATGTCCTGGTTGCCCAAAGCATTGACTCCTGGCCCCTTCCCCTTGCCTCCATCACTCCCCCCCCAGCAGGACCCAGCCTAGGAGGGGAACCCCAGGGAAGGCAGCAGGATACAGCTGGAGGAGCAGCTGAACTCTGTTTCACAGCTGCTCCTACAAACAATCAGCCTGTGGCCAAGGCCAGCAGCTCTGCAGCACAGGCTGGGAGGAGGGGTGTTTGATGGCCTTGTGCAAAAGAAATGGGAAGGGAAGGTTTGTTCAGGGAGCGTTGTGTGCCTGCCCTGGGCACCTCAGCAGAGCCCAGGAGCCAGTCCTTGCCCCACTGGCTCCCCAGGACTCCCCAGAGGCTCCATTGTAAGCTGCCAGTGCCACCAAGCCTGGCCCAGGCTGTCACAGGGGCAGGGACTGACACGGGGGCAGAAAACAAGCTGAAGCAGTCACTATAGAAAATAAAGACTTTATTTTTTTTTCCAGTTCATAGAACAGTTCCCATTACAGACCATGAACAGGCAGAGACCCCACAGCCAGCAGTGCCTGGGACTCACCCCTCATAGCACTGCAAGGGCTGCTCTGGACTCCAGGGGTCCTGCCCACCACTGCCAGCACAGACACCTCCCCCAGGGCTCTCGGAGGCAGCAAATATTAGTGGATCAGGTGGTTTTTAAAGCCTCCGTGGCTGTGGTGAAGCTGCAGGGGAGGCTGGCAGCATCCAGGTGAGCTCAGGTGCCCCAGGCCCACAGGCTGACTGTCCTTCAGGTGTTTGGGTTTGCTCTTCCATTAGCCTACCTGGCTGTAGCTGAACTGGTGACAGAGACAGGAGAAAAATCAATACTTGGATAGAGGTGCTGTTTCTGCCTCATGAGAGACAGGAAAAGGCTTAAATTCAGCCAACAGAGGAAAAAAAATAAAATAGCCAGGTCACCCTTTAGTAACAAACACAGAAATGTACCATCAACCTCATGTTATAAAAGTACTTTACATACATTCAAGGAAACATCGTATAAATATCAGTATGAAATGTCAGTGGCTGCAAGTTCCACGCTCAGCTAAAATTTTACCGATATCTTAAAATTTCCTTAAAACATTTGGAAGTAAACAAACAAAAAGCACAGCCAGCTGCCAGGTGGCTCAGGCCCACAGGCCCAGCACCCACTGAGAATGCCTGGGCAAACCCAGCCCCTCCCCAGCACAGCTCTCACCAGCTGCTTCCCACGGGAGCAAAGCAAAGGGGCTACTTGGCCATGCCAGTGGTGGGAGGTTAAGGCACAGGTTTTAATCCCAAAGCTTAGCCAGCCAGAGTACAAGATGTGCTCCCAATAGGCTGCTGCACAGCTTGGGACAGCTCCCAAGCCTGCTTACAGGAGACCTTTGGATGGACTGGGACTCACTGAGGGATGTTCAGGATCCCACACAGGCTCTTCTGTGACTCCAGGTAAGTCCTGATCCTCTGGTGATATTTCCAACCCTGGGAGCAACGGGGCTGCTCCTTGGCACAGCTCTGGCTGGCACAGTAACACACTTCACAGGGACCCCAGAGGAACTGGATCTGTGGACCCAGCAGTCATGGAGCTGGAGCTGCTCCAGCTGCCTGGAATAGGTGGTAACACACCTGAGCTCTCCATCTGGTACAGAGAACATCCCTGGGGACTCCTGCTCCCCTCTCCAAACCTGCTGCTAACACCCCCAGCACAGCCCCAGGGCTCTCCTGGGCCAGCAGCCCCAAGGGCAGCCAAACACCTCCCCCTCTGCTGAGCTGCCCAGTGACACCCGCAGCAGACACCTGTCCTCAGATTCCCCTCATGGGGTGAGTGGTCCCGCTGCTTGTGGGCAGCAGCTCCCACATAACAGTGTGTTCCTGCTGCAGAGCTCCTGGGGAAATATGCAGACCCAGTATCCATCTGGGATCAGAGCAAAAGGCCAACACCTGACAAGGAGCTGGATGGAAAGCTGATCACTCCTGACTCCTGTGACCACCTTGGAAAAAGAATCTCCTTTGATTCCAATTTAATTAAAAAAAAAAAAAAAAGGAAACTGGAGCTAGGAGCTAGGACAATATGAAACAGAGCTCCTGGGTCCACTCCCTAAGCACTGGGGATCCAAACCCCTGGCTCTAGGCACCTTCTCCCCAGTGGTCACTGGAGATGGCCCAGGAACAGACGTTCCCAGGGCACAGCGGAGCCTGCACTGATGGAAATATCCCTCAGTAATTAATGCCATGGAAGGAATGCAGCAAATACATCCCTTGTGTGGGCACAGCGAGTGGGTCAGTGTCCCCCCTGCAGTGACAGACTTTCAGCCCAGTCCCCTGTGGGTCCCAGACAGGTGACGTGGGGCTGGGACCAGCAATCTGGAGGGGTCTGGGTGCAGCCACGGGTCTGGGTGCAGCCACAGGTCTGGCTGGGGTGCAGCACACACCCGTCCTCAGGGCAGGAACCCCAAGCACCTGCTGATCTGGTGCCATCGGGGTGCAGGGGGAGGCAGATGCCACCAAACACAGCCTGACCTGGCACAAAACCAGCCCCTATGCCAGCCCCAGTCCCCAGTTGCCTGTTCCTTGCCAGGGGAGCTGCAGGTCACTGGCTCCAGTCTCTTTTCTGAGACAGTGGCAGAAAAATCAGCATTGCCATTCCTCTCAAGGCTAGTGTGCTCCAGGCTGCCAAGTCACAGTGTCTTAGAAAATTAAGTCCCTCTTAACAAGGCATTTGTTTCTCACTATGTATTTAGGCTAATGCAAAGAAGAATATAAGAAAACTGAATCTGATTCTACTAAAAGGAGCTTTTTCTCACACACGGAGTCAGGAATGCAGAGGTGAAGGTTAACAACCATAGCCAGAGCCTTCTCTGTAACATTCATGAGGATTTAGGAATTAGATTATTCCTAGTCCAGGTGAGGACTCTGTTCACATCTGAGCAGTATGCACTAGTCTGCCATACCTGATGTTCACAGGCGGTTTCATTTTCCTTTACAGGGAAAATCTGTGGGATCTACGGTCCGGGCCAAGGCTGGAATCCAATGGTCTCCTGCTGGCTAACAGGACTTGTGCACATATTTGACTAGAAGCCACCAGGATAAACTCAGAACACCAACATTTGCCTCTACAAAGAACCACATATCCCAGAAGCGTTCCCTTATTTTTCTGTTTTCCAGTAATCCCACATTGAGGAAATAAGGACATTGTAATAAATTAACTGCTTTGAACACCCAGGAAAGGAGAGAGGACACATTTTACAGCAATAGAGGTATTTTTGACATTTTCATTAATATTTCCCATGAAAAAAACCCATAGCTCTTCGGCTTGGCAAAACAAGGAAGGTTCAGCTCTGCCATCAGCGTTTTCCTATAAAAATAAGGTTTTATGTGTACTTGGGTTCTACAACTAAGCTGAATAGAAAGGAGAGGGCTCTTACAAATACTTCTGCTGTTGTATGGCCCCTCCCTCTGGAGACACCTGCCAGAAGCATTCAGCTGACTCTGTAAGTCCCTTCTGGCAGACAAGCTGTAGCCCTGCTGAGTCTAGGGCTCCTTTGCAGGACACGTCTGGGACTTGGCAGGACTCCTGAGGAATGACCTGCTGTCATGTTCCACTGTAGATTTTGCATCAGGTATGTTTTCTTCATCAAGCTGAAAAGTGAGTCCTCAAATGTGTGAGATTTCTGCCTCTCCAGTGACGGAGAGAGCTCACAGGAGCTGCAGTCTCGCCTCTGCTCCAGCTTCTTACAGGAAGTCTAACTCAAGGGCTTGGTGAAGGGACACGAGGTCGGCGTGATTTGTGATCCTCCAGAACGGCATGTTGTGCTGTGACAAAGAGAGAACAGTCAAGTTTATCAGGGATTTTCAGCTGAGGTGGAAGCAGCCAGGGTACACCTGCAGGGCTGTGCAGTGTGGTGGTTCTGAGCACACCACGCTCAGGATGGATATTGGCCACCTGCACATCTGTATCTTATTTGCACATCTGTATATGACAGGCACCAGCACTGACTGTCAGCTGCTCACGATAAAAACCTTGGCTGTGAGCTGCTGCTGAATCCAGGAATGCCTGCCCAGGGCTCCAGGGAACCTGCACAGGTGGCAGCTCTGGCACATGGCAGAACGTGTGAAGTCTGCAGACAAGGTCCTGACAGTCGTCCGTGCACTTCACTGTTGTTAATTAGCACAACTGAACAACTCATCTAGGCCTGTCCAAATCAATCAAACTGCTCCTTGTTTGTAATCCAGACTAATAGCAGGTGCTGTAATGATGCGCTGCTGCCACTGAGCCCTGACTCCTCTGTGCTCCTGAGAAACTGCATTATCCTGATAGCCACAGGCTATGATCAGGACACAGAATCATCCAGGGTGGAAGAGACCTCCAAGATCACTGAGTCCAACCTCTGAACATGCTACATCCAATGTGCTACACCAAGACACTGCTTACAGGGACATATGCAATCGTAAACAGCAGTAAAACAGAAACTTTAAACCCCCAAGAGCCAGAAAACAGCCCATCTTAACATGTGGAAGATCTCTTGCCCCTGGCTGCCCCAGCCTGAATTGTTCAGCCTTAGAACAAGAGTCCCTGCAGGCAAAGCCTGCTGCAGTGACTTCCCTTTGTATTGCCCCCCAGCCACCTCTGCAGTCAGACCCACCTGCTTGGCTGCCACCTCCTCGTCGCGCCCGTCCCCGATCACCACGTAGGTGACCTTCTTCCCAAACCGCGACACGATCCTCTCGAAGCAGCTCTCTTTACCTGCCAACACAACCCAGTGTTGAGGAGCCTTAGGCAGAGAGAAATGGGAGTCTGAACAGGTCTCTTCCTTCCAGAAACACATTCTTGTCTTACTGGGAGGGGATAACACCCAGTTTAGCTCCTGAGCCAGAAGCCATGACCAGCTGGACCACAGCATGAAATGGCACTTCCCATGTAAAACTCCCCGCTGCAGTGCCAGAGACTTGGCACAACCCCTTACCTATTTTTGTAGCACTATAAATATTTTCAATGGGAAACACTTCGCCCAATCCATACAGGAGAACTTTGGCAAGAGCTGGCATCAGTTGGGTAGTTGTGATCAGGATGTTCTCACAGTTTTTTCTAAAAGAAGAAAAACACTTGTTACTGCACATCTGTAGCCACTGGTGCCACGGCTGCTCCAGGCAGCCTGCTCGGCTTTCCCAAGTGCCACATGCTTTGCTGTCCTGCTCTCAGGAGGCATTTTAGGCCAAGGTTTCATGATTTTTGCTTGTTTACTTCTGGAAGAATTCTCTGGCAGAAAAGTGATTTGGTGAGCATGGGGACCTTCCTAACTACAGGTGTTGCAGCAAAGAAATCCTAAAGGGTGCTCAAGGGATGGAGTTCTTGCAGTCAGACACTTTGCCTCTCAGCAGCAGTGCTGCACGTGAACCCAAGGGCTGTGAAAGCCACGCACGCACTTCCAGGTTCCATACCTGGACTGGATGAGCAGCAGGGACTTTAATGCAGTTTCTAGCCAGGAATCTGTTAGCACTTCTATATCAGTCCTCAGTCGCTGGAGAGCTTCCCTCTTCTGCGGGCTAAGCAGGCCTGGAAGGTAAGGAACATGTGTTTGCCCAGCTGAGCTGGCAAGTCTGACACGGAGAGAGCTGTCCCCCAATGCACCAGCTGCCTGCTCTCCAATAAATAACACAGAACTGAAGGCCTCTGGAAGCTGGACTGTCTGTCTTGAAGCAGCAAGAGAAACCAGCTTCCAGTGACATGGATGAGCCCAGACATCCATCCAGGAGTCTGACTGTGGGGAACTGGGCAGATGCTTTTCTCCGATTATTTCAAAGATTTCTCAGGACACAGGCAATCAAATGCACTTCTCTCATACAAAGCACTCACAGCAGCAGGGGTCCAAGGCCACAGAGCAGGGGAAAGAACTCCTCCAGTCACCCCCTCTGACATCATTCTTCCCAAGGACCCTTTCCACTTTAACCCCTTTTATGTATCTTTTTTAAACTGCCCTCCTTTTTTTTTTATTCACGTGTTTGTAATCTCTTTTCGATATACTTTTCTCCAAGCCTCCAGTTTTGAATTAAAAGCAGCCAGAAATGGAGTCCATACAGTCAAACTTGCTGCTATCAGTAAACACAATAAGAAAGGAGCACATGGAGCCTGCACCTTCCTTCCAGCCGTGATGTATGAGCTCCCTCATTCCAGTCCTGTAGTGCACCAGTCCCCTGCACTGAGGCCATGGAAGGACCCACAGCAGGCTGCACCCACAGCTGCTTTACCATGGGGCTTTACACAGGTCCTGAAAAACTCTGCATCCAGGTTTCCCACATGCAAAATACAGAATCATGGTCTGATCCCTGCCAGAAATCAGGTAGCTCCAGCACACTGAACTGCAGACTTACACTGACGGGCTGAAAGCTGTAGTTTTGAACACCTGGTTTTTAGAACATTTGTCCAAGAAAATGATCTATCAAGTGTTTTTTTTGTGTAGGCAAAGGGTACCCAAATCCACAACCCACCAGGCCGAGTCACCCTGCAGGGTGAGCTGCTCCAGCAACATCCCTTTTTCAGGGACAGCAATGCCAAGATTCAGACTAAACAGAAAACTCATCTCCATTTGCTCACTGTGGTTTGCATCATTATGACTGCTTTGGAGCTGGAAAGGAAGCAAAACTGAAAGGTTTTAAGTGATACTGTGAAAAGATAGAGATGTCATGTCAGACCGTGGACCCAACAGCCCAGGGGTGACCACTGTGTTTCCTGACAATGACATGACAAAAAGCAGACTTTGTGAAGACATGAATGATACCTCCTGAGAAGAAGGGCAAATGAGTCATTCAGACCTGTCCTGAGCAGAATGCCAGGTAACCTTTCATACTAAATTAGCAAAGGGACACTATATGCACTACAACTTTGTTAGCTCCAGGACTGACTGACCACCCCTATCTCCATGATAACTCACAGCCTGCACTAGCACGCTGTTCAGTTTTGGAAGATGTACTCTCTTGGATTCCATGGAAATTTGATCCCAGTTAGCACTGGGAGAATGGTTTACTTCTCATGTCCACACATTCAGAAAAGCCAAAACTCTGAGGAAGGACAGAGTCTGGCCCTACAAGCTCTGTTCAGACCTCGGTGCAGGTGACACTCACCTCCAACATCAGCCTTGTATTTGTTGTAGATCTCGCGTACCCTGCGGTAGCGGAAGGCCAGTTTCCTCATCCAGTCCACTCCCTGCACACCAACCGAGGAGCTGTGGTTTGTGTTGCTTCCTGAGCCACTGAACCCATCCGTGGAGAAGTTGTAGTTGCTGTTGCAGGAAAGTAGATGTGTTAGCTGAGCCACAACAGCAGAACTCCTGCAGCGTTTGCAACAGCGCTGACAGCAGCCAAAAAATACCTGGGAGAGGAACTGCACAGGCACCAGGGCACCTGGAGAACAGAGCCCAGCTCCTACAGGAACACACTGATATCCAACTACAGCTGCTGCTGGCTCTGAACTGCTACACTCATACAATTCCCTTCACATTCTTCACTACAAAATTCTCCTTTGCCCTTTGGCTGCTCACTCCTCTGCGATATGGAGCATCCTTCCTACTGGCCTCTTTCTCATCCTGCAACGATCAACTCCAGCACAGTATCCTCTAAACACAACATCTGTGCCTTTCCATCACAGTTGCAGCTCCACAAACAGATGAGCTGCTTCACCAGCTTATGACTGCAGGGAACAAGTCCTGCTTCACCACTTTCCCTGTATTTCTTACTCCCTGACAGGCATTTCTCAGATGATCGTGGACTCACAGAATGGTTTAGGTTGGACAAGACCTTCAAGATTATCTCATTCTAAACCCCTGCCATAGGCAGGCACACCTTTCACTAGAGCAGGTTACTCAGAGATCCATCCAACCTTGTCATCATGAGATCTGGAGTGCAGGTTCTCCATTCCTCATATGTCATTGAACAAAGAGGCAGCATTCAACTGTGGACAATATAATTCACAATCTAATTTCAAAACTCTTAATGCTTTGTAGGTCTTCAAAGAAACAGCCCCCAGCAAACAAACACCGTTTGCCAGGTTTCATTCTCTGCACAAAGCTGACCTCCCTCCCTTAATTCCATCTGGGTGTCAAGTCCCCACAACACCCGATTACATCAGCAATACATTTCCTGCATTTGTCAGTACAACACCTTAGATCTTGGCCATTGTCATCAGATGCCACATCTTCTATGTGTACCTGGTCACACTCCTATTAAAGGAAAAAAACAAAAATAGAGTCACACTGTGGTAATTCAGAAACATACTAAAATTTGAGGATTAAAAAAACTGTGATATAAACCAATCCCTTCACACTTCCCAACAGCAACAAGCCATTCCACATCATTTCCACAAAACCCACAGAACTTCCACTAGCTCCGTCTGCCAGTATTGGCTTTTACTGCCCAGCTCTTACAGGTCCTTGCCCACACTAGGACCCAGAAAGAGTTGGAAAAAGCATGTTTATATGACATTTTGACCTGTCTGCAAAAAGAGAACTTTGACACTCCCTGAACAGGTTGGACTCAAAGCTGTCATTTGAAACCCTTCTGTCACTTCAGAAAAGCAAAACAAAACAAACCAAGAATATCCCAAAATTGCATTATCTGGTCAAGCATTGCTATTCCATTTTCTCAACACCAGGTCAGCAGAGTCACAGCAGGAACCCTGAAGGAACAGCAGTGTAGTGGCACTGCCATGACTCTGGTGCTTAATGCAGCTGATTTAACCCACTAACCTACTGATTTAACCCACCAACCAATACCTACTGCAGCACATGTCGTGGCTGAGACTCAGCTAACGTCAACAATTCCCTTTCCAGCACAAGTGTTTTCCTTAGGGGTTTTTGTTGTTTTTTCCCCTGAAGCAGGGAGGTAACTCATGACCACCTTGTCAAAGTTTACTGCTGCCAGTAGTCACAGCCACAATGGAAATGTCATTTAAGTCTCTGTTTGCATCAACAAAATCATCTTGTTTTCCCATAATGTGCATCAGTGATGCACCTACAGCTAACTGTTCCGTGTTCATATTCAGCTTTCCTAAGCAGGGTGGCAATGGGAGGGCAGCAAGAGCTTGCAGGAAAGAAAAAGGGAGGGTGCTGTGGACCTTCCATGTGTACAGCACACTTGTCTATGGCAGCACGTCCTTCAAAGCTGTTACACAGCCCATGTCACCTCTTGTATTCTGTCCTTGGCTTAGTCACAGCCTCTGAGAACTGACATCCTCAAGGTCATTTTGTCCTCACATCTCTGGTCTCCATTTCAAAACAGGATCAGTGGAAGCAAAGTACTCACCAGTCCAGAATGCAAGTACAAGACAGAGCAGACATAATTGCTTTTATCTGTGTGGGTTCAAGCAGAAACCCAGCAGAACCTGAGAGAGCTCCTGACACTAGAAGGCTGCAGAATGTGTGTCTTAGGTAAGACTGCATCTCTGATTTGGTTGTGCTTACAACCACTTCAGCTTTGTCAGACTGTCATGTTTCAACAATAACAGGCTCTGAACTACAAGAGCCCTCACAAACAGTGTCATTCAAACATGGTAACACAGAGTTCTGCCTTTGCCATGAGTACCTCCAAGTCATTGAAAAACAAGTGAGTATCAGCGACTTCAAAAATCATCTCCTCCATGGACAGACCTGAGCCAATCACTAGAGTTGGATCCTGGCAAAACACAAAGAGAAGAAGTAAATCCACTGTGGGTACAGGCAGAAGGGAATTGTCATAAATCTCTCATCGGTTAAACTGCACTGTTTCCACTCTATATCAAACCTGATGTAATTCCAGCTACGATCAATGGTGTGAACTACAATTTCCCTAATATTTAAACAACTCAATTGAAAAAAAAGAAAAATCCACATTCTGGTGGATTGACCCAAATGTCAGTCTGGTTCATTGACTCAAAATGTAACAAAACACTTCAGTGCTGCACAGGAGGAATTGATGCATTTTCGCAGTCAGCACGAACAAAACATTAAAAAATCTACAATATATTTTGAAGGAGAAAACCCCCTTTCCTTTCCCTCTGTGCCAGGATCTCAGTAATTCCCAGTGAGGATACAGTTTGACATTTTAGGACTTGCATTGTCAGAAGGGAAGTGTTGGTGATGTCCATCTCCTAGCTCTGTATAAAGCCAAATTTAACATTCTTTCTCTGCCCCAAACTGCCAACAAGTTAAAAGTATCACCTTATATATTTAAAACTAAATGTATTTTGCTGTTCCTTTTCCAAGATTAACATTTAATTCTGCAAGACAGAAATGTTTGGGGTTTTTCCCATGGAAAAGACAGTATTACCTTGCCATATTTTTGAGCATAAGACCCTGTGAGAAGTGAATGGAAGATGATGATGGTCTCATCCAAGTCCCAGAGAAACACCCGCTGCAGAGAGAACAAAAGAAGGTCAGAGCTGAGATATTCCAGGCACTGAACTACAATAAAGGAGCCAGTTTTAGGGTTAATTTTGTGCTTAGCTGCAGTATGCTTTTAACAAGTATGAACACCACTTCTCCTCTTACAGGCTGAACACATTCAACTCTGCAATTTTTTGCAGTGGAGTTTATATACTGCCACAGGAGTACATACTCAGACTAAAGCTCTCTTGGTCAAACTATGTCAAAAGCTTCTCTTGCTTTTATAGTTACGAAAGCAAAAGCTTAGAGTGCTAATGAACTTTAGAGCCCTGCTGAGGTAGAAGTGATCTGAAGAGCAGCGGGTACATGACCTTGATGTTTGCCAGACAAATCTTTGTTATACATAAAGTGATGGGCTGCTCTGAGGAATGGCAGTGTCAGTACAGAGAGACTTTGATAAACTGGAGAACTGGGCCAACATGTGGGGTGGAATAACCTGGTCCAGGCTGAAGGAGCTGGAGGGCAGAGTGGACACAAGTGCCAGCAGCACTCTCTCCCTATGGATGAGATGACCTACGTGCTGGAGTGTGCCACGTGTGCCAGACTAAGAGACAGAAGGTGCTGTCTCACCCTACTTGGCACTGGGAAGGTCACCCCAGATTGCATCACCAGTTCCAGGGGTCTGTGAGGAAAAAGGAGAGCTGCCAGCAAAAGGCTGTCAAGATGGTCAGCAGCCTAGAGGAGAGGCTGAGGGAGCTGGGAGGGATTAGCTCGGCAAAGAGGAGACTAAGGGAGATCTAACAGCAGACCACAACTATTTGAGAGGGAACTGCAAAGATGATGGACACAAATACTTCTCAGTAGTGGCAGATGGAAAACTGCCATGGAAAAAGAAGGGGAAATTTGTAGGTTGGGAGATTCCACTTGGAGGCAGAAAACCTCCTTCCCCCGGTTGGCACAGTACTCTTGGGAAAGATCACTTGGTACACTGTCTAGGTACAGGATGCCAGCCTTAGAGGTTCTCATGACTCAGGTAGACAAAGACATGGCTCCAGTGCTGGGGACAGCCCTGCTCTGAGCATGTAGCTAGACTGGAGACACCCAGATGTCTCCTCATTGACACCACTAAGATTCCAAGACCCATTTAAGTGATGCTTGTCAAGCACAAAAGGAGAACTCATTTGAGCCAGTTCTCAGAAAACATGGGTCATGGGAACTTCCCAAATTATCTCTCAGTACAGGAAAGACATGGACCTGTTGATGTGGGTCCAGAGGAGACAACAAAAATGATCAGAGGGACAGAACATCTTTGCTGTGAGGAAAGACTGAGACAGTTCAGCCTCGAGAAGGCTCTGGGGGGAGACCCTATTGTGGCCTTTAAACACTTACAGGAGGTTTATAAGAAAGATCATATCATCATAGAATGGTTTGGGTTGGAAGGGGACTTTGAAGATCATCTCACTCTGAACCCCCTGCCATGGGGCAGGGACAGGTATCCCAGGTATCCCAGGTTGCTCCAAGCCCCATCCAGCCTGGCCTTGCACACTTCCAGGGATGGGGCAGCCACAGCTTCTCTGGGCAACCTGTGCCAGGGCCTCACCACACCCTCACAATAAAGAATTTTTTTCTTAATATCTAATCTAAACCTCCTCTCTTGCAGTTTGAACCCAGGGGGACAGACCTTTTAGTAGGGCCTTAGTAGTGATAGAACAAGGGGAAATGGTTTTAAGTGCAAAGAAAGTAAATTTAGACTAGATGTAAGGAAGACATTTTTAACAATCAAAGTGGTGAGGCCCTGGCACAAGGTTGCCCACAGAAGCTGTGGCTGCCCCATCCCTGGAAGTGTTCAGGGCCAGGTTGGATGGGGCTTGGAGCAGCCTGGGATAGCTGAAGATGTCCCTGCTCATGGCAGGGGGGTTGGACTAGATGACCCTTAAAGGCCCTTCCAACCCAAATCATTCTATAATCCCCATTCATTTCCACAGAGACAGAATGAAAAAAAAGAGAGGAGAACTTTTACCACCACACTATTCTGCAATGAGACCTGTAGAAAACAAGATTACTATTTACCTCCAGTTCACTGTCCTGTGAAGAGGAGGTATCTGCCTTCCTCTTCCCTCTGTTCTTCCCAGGGATGTTTTTTCTTGCCTGCTCATCTAACTCTTTACTTGCTGTTGCTCTTGATAATGAAGGACTTGTGGATGCATCTCCTAGAAGAAAGAAATCACACAGCTCTCACCCCCTCATGTCTCAAAACAAACACCAATATAGCACTGGCCACAAACTCCCTTTGCAAAAGGTAAGACGTTACCTTGCTATATGGATGCAGTAGTAGTTGAACCTTACTAGAACATAAAAGATGATTTCTTGGTCCCATTGTTTCAAAACAGCTCTGTCTCCTCAGTGCATTCCCCAAGACTGAGCGACTGCAAAAGCTACTGCCTGTAGAGCAAAGCCAGAGCAGAGCACCCTCCATCCTAAGGCCTGGAACCCTGCCATCAGTTCACTACCCTGGAACTGCTTTATTTCAACTGTTTCGTTTAACAGACAATTAAACATAAAAGAGTAACAGGGATGATGTTAGTCCTGGAGACACAGCCTTGGTCAAGTAGCACGGCCATGGCTGACGGGAATACAGAGGCTGTTCTGCTACTGGTAAGAACATCCTTCCCAGGGAAAGAATACACCACCTCCAGAAAAACTGCTGCTTTGATGTGCAGGGTCTTAGGACCATGACAGTCTATGAATCCTTTATTACCAGCTCAGGCAGAAGAGTTAACATCCCAGACACCTGCCTAACTAGGTCCAAAACAGGACCAGACCTGTAGCGGGATGGCAGAGGGCAAGGGGGCATGGAAGAGCTTGAATTCAGTCTGGGGCTTGAAAACAAGACATTGCAGTTCCTAGGAAAATTAATGCAAAACGGTGAACTTGGAGAATTCCTGAGCTAAGAACATGGCACTGAAAACATCAAAAACTGGGCCGTTCCTTGCCCACTGCCTTGAAATGAGAGGTAAGTTCCTAAGGTTTGGTTTCCAGCAGCAAATGAGAACTAATTCTCATGGGTAAATCTGCTGTTGTTCACCTCAACTAGAGGGCAACTGTTTCCTGAAAGAGGGCAAGTGCTTGGAACCCCACAATTCTTGATGTACAAGATCACAGCATGGTGTTTGTCACTCCTGTCGACAGCATCCCATCAGGTAAACGTGAGAGAGGTTTGGAACTTCACTGAGTTCCAGACTATAGATTTGTATGCTTGTCTCACTGGCAGCCACCCATTCCTGCTTGCAGGGTGCATGACTGAGCTGGAGGACTTGGCAGAGCTCAGGTGCTCCTGGTGGACTTGGGGAAGATGGAGGAGGCAAAGTGCTGCAAAGGCAATCGCTCAGCACCTTCTGCAGCAGGCTGACACCACCCCCTCTCCAAGCAAGAGCCACCTACAGCCAAACCACACACACTCTCCTCTTCCTCTACTTCAGTTTTTATTGCTGAACATGACACTATATAGTATGGAAAATCTCTTTAGTCAGCTCAGGTCAGCTGTTCCAGCTGTGACCCCTTCCAGGTTCTCGTGCACCTCAAGCCTGCTTGTTGGGGAGTGTGGAGGGGAGAAAGCCCTGACCATGTAAAAGCACTGTTCAGCAGGAGCCAAAATACTCTGTGTTATCAGCACTGCCTTAGCCAGGAATCCAAAACACAGCACCAGCACAGCTGCTGGGAACAAAGTTACCTCCAGCCCGGTCAGACTCAGGGCACCAACAAAAATGAATGGAATCTGGATTTTTTTCCCCAGCCTTCCAATCTGCAACAGGCAGATTTCAATTTAAAACTGCTCAACAGCACTGGAACAATCTCATAACTCCTTGCACAAGACACTGGAAGAAGCACTAAGTCTTTGCTTTCATCCTTGGTTAACTTAGGAAACTATTCCTCAAGAAGAAATTTTAGCCAACACCCCTGAGGCTGGGACAAAACCCAGCATTGGTGAGAATGGCCAAAGGTGTGACTTCTCTAGAACAAGCAATCAAACCTTCTCAACACACTTCCTACTTCCCTAAAATCAGCTAAAGTCTTCTCTACCGGAAAAGTGCCCATGACTGACTGCTGTGCAGATGCAGATGTGCTCACAGCAAAGCACAGCAGAACAGCTCTTAGTTCAACCAGGGTTTGCAATGATGAGGCAGAGGAAAGGAAGAGATGTACTGCTGGGCATGTCAGAGACCAGCACAGTGAGAGGGGATGGCTAAACCACAGCTCCTGAAAATGCAGGAGCGGTCCTGGAGGACTCCCACAACTGGGCCTGGCTGCTGTGTCAGGTCATCCGAACACGTGGCTGTGGGAGGGAAAGATGCAGCAGGAGCTACTGAGACTGAACTGCCCGGTAGCCCAAGTGAAGGCCCAGTCCCCAGGGAGCTGCTGCTGGCAACTCTTCAAGTCACCCCTAGCACTCCTCTCCCTGGGAAATGCAGAGCACATGGTGGGTATCTCAGAATCTGATACATGAGTTTGGCTGGCCCACCATAACTCTGCACACCAGGGAGACCAGAGACAAGGCAGGCAAGTGTCCCGTCCAGGCCAGCATGAAAAGATGGCGCAAGTACCTCTCGAAGAGGAGTTTTGCCCACGCCTGCCCCCTGCACTGTTGGCACAGGTGCTTTGCAGCCCCTGTTGCAGCCTCACCCGAGGGGGGTCTCTGCGCCGCCCGCACAGGCGCCGCCGTCGCCTTCTCAGCTGGGTACGTGGTGGTGGCCAACGCCAGGCTGTCCGTGCTGCTGTCTGCTGGTGGCACCACTCCGAAGCCTGAGCTCGGGTAACACGTCTGGTACTGACTCTGGCCAAGGATCGTGTATGTAGGATATTCCTGTTGGAGGAAAGCATTAGTGGTGGTAGGATACCTCTTTCAGAAAACACTCTAATCAGGATGGCTTTTGTGCTAGAACATCCTGTCAAAGGAAAATCCACAGTCTGACTTTATCCTGTTTCTTTCTGCATATGTAAGACATTTCCCAAAAAGGACTGGGAGCTCTCACTGCCCAATGACCCCCATACAAGCAGGTTTTGCAGAGGAGGCCAGTGATCCCAGAGCCACTCCTCTGCCTCCAGTGTCTGCAAAAATGAATTCATAATGAATGATCTGACAGTAGTAGGGGAGTTAAGTGGATGCCAATGTACCAGTGCACTCTGTGCTCTGGAATGTGTGGTTTTGTCTTGCATTTTACTTCCTGATATCAGATGTACTGACAGTGACAGAAAGAGACTTAGGCCCTGGCTGAGGGCACAACCCCAGCCACGAGAGCTACAGGATAAACAGCCATTACTCATGTCCTGACTTCATCAAGTAATTATTCTGCATGCTGTGATAAAAGGTGTCCATTTATGAAAGTATTTATTCATTTAGGATTAGGAGCCTCTGGTGGTCTAGTGGTTAGGGTGCAGGACTCTCACCGCTGCGACCCGGGTTCGATTCCCAGCCCCCCGGGCAGATGGAGCTCGTTAGCCCTGTAAGGCAATCCATCTAAGAGAAGGTCACTCTAAACAAACCTACGTCCTGAGACCCTCACTGCCACTGTCCAAGCTTGCTCGGCCCCGGCAGATGAACCTCAGGATTAAAGGGTGGGCTCAGTTCAGCGCACGCTGTGTCTCACCTAAAAAATCCACTGCGCAGGCTCGAAGGGTTAATGACCTTTCCCAAATCTTCGCTCGCGAAGACTGGCCATTATTATTATTCATTTAGGAGATCACTGAGCACATGGAGCTGTGCTTGAGGATTTTAATTTCTGATATGGATAATAAAAAAAGCAGTGACCCCAAATGTCATGTCACACTGTTCTGGCACATTGTGCTCTCCTGATTGCCTCAAAGAACAACCTGGGTTTGTGAACCAGATACCTTGGTTTGAAATACTGAACAAAATTTTTTTTTTCCTCTTACAGTTCCAAGCAAGTGTATGCTAATGAAAGAACTTTAAAAAGCAACAGCATAAGCACAGAAGTGTTTTTGTGCATCCACTGCATTTTCCACACTTCCTGTATTCTCTTTCTGCAAAGTTGGACACTGAAGGGCTTCTTTGTATATCCAAGCACTCAGAATGGCAGTTAACCACTGACAGGGCTGTATTATCACCCACAGAGGTGACGGGCACAGGAAAGTGCTCTGTGCTAGCTTGCAGGGCTGTTTGACTTTATTCTACTCTAGCACCACCAGAATGTACCTCCTACTTTACTGGGTTGGGGGTTTGTGTACAACCTAATTTCCTATTCTTGCTGAGGGAGAACAAAGGCATCCAAAAACCACCCACCCCTAATCCTCCCTGTAGGTTAAGTCCTCAAAATAGTTCTATTGTTTCTTCCAACACTGTCTCTCTCGCAGAAATCTCAGTTGAAGACTCACCTCACAATCTGCAGATGAGGCAAGAGCTTTGAAAGGATGAAGAGAGTTTGTTGCAAAGGTCAAAGGGAGAAGCATCAGTACCACTGTGCTCCATTTGAAGCGATGCAAATACTTGGTGTTCCCATGTTAATTTTGAGTAATGTGTTAAACAAAGGTGAAAGAGATGCTGCACATAAATTTACCAAGGAAGATTTACCTGTGAGATGCTGGCTACTGCTGACGTGGAAATATTGACAACAGTTGAGGATGTAGAGACTGGACTGGCATTTGTAGTCGATGCTGTAAAATTAAGAATTACTGCATTAAATGCTTCTAGAAAAGCACAAGAGACGAGAAGTTGTGAAATAAATACTTACTAGGCAAATGTGCAAGCACTTGTGCTTCTAGCAGCACTCTGCTGCTAATAGCCAAAAAAGGGATGAGGTCTATTTTGACACCAGTTACATTTCAACTGGGCTTACAGAGAAGCTGTTTTACTCTTCAGAAAGTCCTTTCAAATGGTTCAGAAGCCTTTTCCCTCCATGGCTGCTAAGCAACTGGTGTAGTATTAAAAAGGTTTCACATCTTTACTACGTTTTGATAAGACAACAATCATATTCTGATGCTCAATCAGTAGCAGTTAAAAATGAATCAGAATAAATTGATAAAAAGGATGTGACCGTGTTTAATCAGTTCTGATAAAAAAAATTCTCTCAGCATTGAATTTGGCATATTTAGTCTAATTAGATCAAAAAAATTAAGGAAACAGTAGGAGTATTTCAAATAGTAGAAAAAGAGTGTTTCCTACTGGAGAAAGTGAACATCTCTCCCCACATCCCTGTGAGACTAGAATGGCTTTTTGGATGTGACTTTCTGAAATAATCTGTCAACAGCTCATAGGACAAATTCTTACAGACATGTAGTTGTTAGTATGAACTTGAAAATGTTTAATAGCCTTCATGTCACTGCATTCAGTTCACACAAAATACAAAAGAGGCTGCTAGAGCAGCATTTGGAAACAAGTTATTTAGCAGATTTTGGGGTTTTGCAGCCACAGGGTCACTCCATTAAACATTCCGCCACACAGGGTTTTGGGACCCTCAAGGATAACAACAAATAATGAAATCAGCACAAACAAAACCAGGATGTATAAAACCAGGTGCCACCAAGAATTATTTTCTTTTCTAAGCCACCTTCCTCTGCACACAAATAAAACCAAAAATCACTTTTAGATGCTAATGTAAAAACTTGCAGAAGTCCACGGTATCCCCTACTTTACCATCACTCTGAAAAAAAGCCCTCACTTTCTGCAAATACCACCATGCAGAATTCACCCCAAGAACTTGAGCTTCCAAAGGCGTCGGTCCTGCTGCCCCAGGAAAAGAGACCCACCATGAACTCTTAACCAGTGCATGCTGTGTTATGGCAAGCACAGATACCAGCTGGTGGCTCCTGGAAAATGTAATGGATCCAAAATATGCCTCAAAAAAGATGAGAAAACAAAAGAAACATATCTTAAAAGAGGTGCAGAAACACGCAGTATTTACAGGAGGTGAGAAATGTGAAGGGTGGCATCTCTGTGGAAGCAGAAACAAGTAATTAGCCCCTGGGAATCCCCTCATAGATAGGAGCAGCATTGTTCAAAATACAAGGGAGAGAATTTTGGGGGGAGAACATTTAGAAAAAGGCAAAAAGGCTGCAAGGAACAGCAATAATAGCAATGAAGACACTCAAGGACCTACAGTAACTACACAGCTACAAGAAGCCCAGCTGTGAGAGCCAAGGGACCCGTCACAGACATTCCTCGTAAGCAACTGCTCGAGAACAGGGGGTAGTTCCCAAACAAAACTCCTTCCAGCTACACCTATGGAAACTATTAAGCCTGTCATGACCTCAAGAGAAGGTCTCCTCCTAGGCCCCTACAAAGTCCAGCTCTTCAGAAAAGACCTTTGCTAACCAAACAAACCTGCTATGCAGCCAGGGCAGAGGAACCCTCTGGAAGATAGATTGTTCCACTACTGCTCTCAAGACTGTTCTGGAGAGCAAACAGAAAGTGATTCTCCTCTGCAGTGCTCTGCAGAGACTGCTTCTCCACTGAGACTTGATTACGGAAGTTAAGAAATCATAGAAAAAAGATTCCAAGGTTTGGCATTCTCTCATATGAACTTTATTGTTTATCTTAACTCTGGTCTCCCTCCAGTATTCTTTTTAATTACCCTATATTGTCTATACAATACTACATATCACATCTTTCCAAACAGCTCCCACCACATAGATGAACCAATTCTTTCTGCACTGTGGGCCAGTTCCTTTTATGTGTGAATGGGCCAGAACCGTGCAAAAATATTTGGCACAGATTTGCCAAAAGGGACCACTTCAAGGTCTCAGGTTTCAAAGATCATCTTCAAGGCATCTTGCCTTGAAGATGCCGTGACTCTTCTCTCTTTCTCCCCCATTTCCAGACCTCATCCTCAGACATTACATCCATACCTCCCCTGCCTTATTCATCCCAACCTGTTTTGCTTCAGTCATTTTAAGAGAGCCAAAACCAGATCCATGCACCGAAATTCCCCTCCTGTAGGTCAGTAGCATTGGACAACTGTGTATCACCCTGATGATTTGAGTGGAGAGAAAAGACAGATATTCCAGGGAATACTAATAAAGCAACTCTGTTCATCCTTGCAGCTTCTCCTCTCCACCACCTCCCTTGCACCACCCCCTGTACTGACCTTATCCCTTGGTTGGCTGCTTGTTAATTTGATGAGAATCCAAAAGAGGAAAAGCTTCCTGCGAGTGTGCAACAAGTTCTACCAAAAAGTGACAGCATTTACACAGTTGGGGTGACTTTTGCACACTCTGGGGTGCCTTTTGCACGCTTCAGAGAGGAGCCTGCAGGGAAACTCCTCACATCACACATTGTCCCAGCAGCACGGATTAAAATTCTTCTCCTACAGAGAAGGATTCCATCTCAGTGGAAGCCTAAGAAAGCTGGAGTTGCTCGGTTTGCAGAAGAGAAGGCTCTGGGGAGACTTTAAGGCCTTTCCAGTGCTTCGAGAGAGCCGGAGACTTTGTACAAGGGCCTGGAGTGACAGGACAAGGGGGAATGGTTTCCCACTGCCAGAGGGCAGGGATAGATGGGATATTGGGAAGGAATTCCTTCCTGTGGCTGTGGTGAGGCCCTGGCACAGGTTGCCCAGAGAAGCTGTGGCTGCCCCATCCCTGGAAGTGTCCAAGGCCAGGTTGGACAGGGCTTGGAGCAACCTGGGATAGTGGAAGATTCCCTGCCCATGGCAGGGGGTGGAACTGGATAATCTTTAAGGTCCCTTCCAACCCAAATTATTCTGTGATTTTATAATTCTTCTGCAGAGCGAGGCCTGACGTGTCTGTCCCCTCACCGATCCCCAGGGATCCATCTGCTCCCCATGGGACATCACTGGGAAATCTGCCATGGGTCATGTTGTGTAGAACCATTCCTGATCCTTGGCAGCTAAAGCAGGGGCTATAAAACACGATAATTCATTCTGTCGGTGAGAATATGGGGAGGAGGGTCACACTGGAAGGAGGGGAGTATTTCCAGTATTGTTTTCTTCATGGTATGAATGTGAAAAGTAAATTAAGGATAAACGTTACACTGGGCCATTGACTGTCACAATAATGCAAGCTGAGCAAGTACCATGACACAGCACATGGCCTTCTTGTCAGTGAAAGACATGCTAAACCCCACTTAGTGCTAATTTTAAGAATTATTTCCCCTTTCTTGGCACTCATCAGACCACATCTGGAGATGCCATTCAGTTTGTGGCCTCAAGCACAAGAAATATGTTGATAAAATTCAATGGGTCTGGCAAAAAGACACCAAAGCAGTCAGGGAGAGGGAACATGTGCCCTGTGAGGGGCAGTTCAGCAGAGAGGCACTGTCCAGCTGGGAGAGGAGATGGCTTTGGGGACCTGGTACAGCCTGCTCATACCTGCACAGAGTTTACAGAGCAAGGCTCTTCTTGCAGGTGCACAGTTGGAGAAGGAGGGAAATGGTCACAACGTGAAAGAGGGGATGCTCTGACTTGACAAAAGAAAAAAGTTCCACCACAATGACAGTCAGGTGCTGGAATTGGCAAAATCTCCATCCTCGGAGGTTTTGGAGACCCAACTAGATAAAGCTGAGCAACCCAGCTCTGAATTCAGTATCAACTACTCTTTGAGCACGAGCTGAACTAAAGTTCTCCTGAAGTCCCTGAATTATTCTATGACAATATTTCACAAGAAACAAATTAAGAATTCCTGAAATGCTTTTTAAAATTTTCAGAGACATACACAAATTTTCACAAAACATAAATGGCAAACATCCAGCCTAAAAATTAAAGTATAAATTTGTGCATATTTGCCATAAGCAACAATATTCCATTATTTGGCTATCTGGCACATTCACTCCTAAAAACTGCTGTGGAAGGTGGTGAAATTCAGCACCTGCCTTCTTAGATGTGCAACTTCCATCAGCTGGAATATTTGTAGGCTAGTTCTATAACGAGAAATTCACTTCCTAGCAGATCTACCAACCTGGGGGGGTGTGTGTGATGTGCAAGAGCCACCTACTTTCAGAAGGAATTAAAACCAAATGTTTAAAAATCCAAGTATTTCCTGACATCAAGTTAAAGACCACAAACAAAGAGAAATGCAAGAGCATTCCCAGTAAAGCATGCAAGAACACAACATTTAGTCTCCTCTCCCCTTCCCACTTGCTCTTCACCCTGTTCAGCCCAGCAGCATGGCACCAACGAGCCAGCCTGGTGCACACACGGGTAGGAGACAAATACAAACCCAAACACACACAGGCACAAAGAGAGAAAAGGCAAAGCATGAAGAAGCATGCACAAACCAAGGACAAGCGTGCAAGCCTCTCTAGTTTGCTATCTGGACTCAGTTAGGTGGAGAGAGATGCAGATAAAAACCATGCCAAGTTACCTTCAATGGAATAAGAATAATGTGCTGGGCTGGGCTGGCTTGTGGTTAACCCTGTAGTGCAGGTAAGAACACTGTGCTGACTTGTAGATGGAGTCTGAATTAAACCACTTTCAGGTTTCATACCTGGCCACAGTGCACCTGAATCAGATAAATTGGACCAGTTAAAAATATGCTGGGACCAAAAAGCATGCTGCTACCTCAGAGTAGCTCATCACAAAGCAAGTAACAAATGACAGACGGAGAATGTTTAATTTCGGCAATAGTAAGCACTGGCTGTGAGGCTGTGCACAGATTAGAGCTGCTGACAAAACTGGCTGAAAAAGAGAAAATTAAAAGCACCAATAAGACCAATTTGTAAAGCTTTCAACTAAAAATCTGTTTGTGTCACTAAGATTCACTGTCCTGTGGGAATGAAGGACCTGCCAATCCCTCTGCAGAGGCTGAGCTGCACAGCACTGCAAGTGCCATCAGCTGTTACACAGCCAGGCTGAAGTTGGGACCTATGAAGGTCGAGGTCAGCACTTCCACTAATTCACTGGGCTTTGGGTTGAGTATTTTAAAACAAGCCACAAGTCAGTAATTTTCAAAGACTGACAAAAACAAATATAGAGCTCAAAAGAAAAAAAAAAAAAAGGCTAAATGTTTCTTCTAGTTTTCCAGTTGCTCTGGAAAGCTTGTGTAACAACCCTGGGCACAGCACAGAGAGAGCCAAGTGACTGTAGTTCTGTGTACAGGGCACACACAGCAGTGTGGTTCAGCTCAGGTGCCACATTAGGGTCAAGGCCACTGCACTGACAGGTACCAACAGTGTCTGACTGAGGCAGCTCAACTCAGGCCTTGCTTTTCAAGGCTCTTCAGGCTTTCCTTTGAGTGTTTCCAGATCTATAGCCAAAGGCAGTTCTCCCTTGTCCTAGTCAGAAAGCAGGAACAGGTTGAGAGGTTCTGCTTAAAAACAAGCAGGAGTGTGCAAAGCAGAGGGACAAAGGATATTTGGAGCTAGACACAGAGTTCAGGGCCATCAGGAAGACCAGCCTCCCTTTTAAACCCCCCAAAACCAGTACCAGGGCAGCAGAAGCTACCTGCAGCCCTCCACCCGCTCTAGCAGGACAAGCCATGGACTATGAGCTCTAGGTCTACTCTACCGAGCTGGACAAGAGCAGCAGCTCCAAGAGGTTGCTGCCACTTCGTCATAAATAAATTCTGCAATGGCCCTTTGATTTATTTACATACCTGATCTCAACACACACCTACGTCACTCCCCTCTCTACAGACAGTCCTTCGGTTTGACACTTAAGTTACATCTTTGTTACCATTTCAAACCTCCAAAACCACAGTAATTAGCAAACAAAAGGGAAAGGCTGATTTAAGAAAGATTGTAGATACATTGCAGAAACTCCAGGACAAAACATATGGGAAACAGATCCTCTAAGGAGAGTGGGAATAACTGTGTTTGTTTAGTCTGGAAAGGGAGTGCCACCATCTCCAAGTGGGTGAGCAGTTTTTATAGGGGACAGTAACCAGCAGCTCCTTCCAGCACAAGAAAGAGGGACAAGGAGCAGACAGCAACACGATGTGATGGTCACAGGACACACAGAAGTGCCAAATAACCTCACGGTGAAACACAAACCCACTGGGAATGCTGGAGGATAATGCTTACACAAGGATGCTGCTGGCTAGATGCCAGTGCAGGAGCTGACCCGGCTCACATGTTACAGAATCTTTCAGCCCCTGCATTCCGTGACTGTCTCTGCCACAGACATGTCCTACTTTCCATACAGCAAGGCACAGTCCTGGCCTGGGGGCACATGTCCTTCCCCTCTCATTCTGCAGGACAGCATTTGTAAGCCAGCACTGCCTCAAGGATGACAGAGAAGAAGCCGGGAGAGGGGAAAAAGACTCCTCCATGTCCAACGTCACAGATGTCACAGGACACACCTACACACGTGGGAAGGCCCCACACAGCACACTCCATCACCTGTAGGTTTTTTTTGAGTTAATGTAAACCATCACATCCGTGATGTTTCTAAGACCAACTTACAGATACATTTATGCAGCCTGGATGTCACTACTCTTATTTTAATACTTCTTTAATAAAATCTCTCCAGGTCACAAGTGCATCCCATGCAGAACAATGCACTAAAGCTTCAAGAGAGGTGACAAACTGGCAAGAGCACTGAATGCAGCATCCTGACTTGGAGGGACTTCAAGACTATGTCCGTGTTTGTCAGCTTGCTTGAATTTCACACTGTTTTGTTCCAGTCAGATAATCCACTGCGCCTTCTTTTTGGCACAGAAACAAACACACAGTACACACCAACCTCTGAAACAGGCCTTCTGGTGCTGCTGAAACATCTGACCAAGTTGTTGGCTCTCACCTGCTCACTGGAGATATTGTGAGCAGAAACAATTTGCAGAATTCCTTCTGCAGCATGCACGGTCAGTCCTCTGCCCTCCACCTCTCTGACACACCATGCAAGATCCATTTTCTCAGGATGACTCAGCATGTACCACTCCAGTATGATTTCCATTACTGGAAATAATGACTTTTAACATCTTCCTAACACTTAACTTCACTCTAAAAATTCAGGTGTTTAACAACAGGCCTTAAAATCCACACCAAGACATTTCAGTAACTGATCACATTTCAGATGTTTTACAGATGAAACTTCCTCTGAAGTCAACAGAAAACGCAAATCTCTTGCCAGGTCTTCAGAATTATTTCTAGTGTTACAGAGTGTAACACTGAAGCAGATGAGTATCCCTGTATTCCAGAACCTTTGAATTTAAGAAAACAGTCTTCCCAAATATAGCTGCCACTACTGCCACCAACAAACGTCACACACACAACACACAAAAAAACCCCTTACACCCTCACTCCCTCTCTCCAATTTTAGAAGTCTAAAATACCTTTTTTTAACAACTTCACTGGAACACTCCACATATTTACAAATTTTGCCTTTAAAAAACTCAACACTTGACACAGTAAAGCACACGAGAACACAACAAACAGCTTCAGTGCACCATCCACAACAAACTATCAAGAAACACCAAATAAATGAAGCAAAGGAAACCACCAGCCACTGTTCAGATACAGCAAAAAACAGCACAACAAGGTACTGAAACCAAAGTGCAGGCACCCAGGGAAGAGGAGTATGTTCCAGCAACCATCACTAATTACAGTATTAGTAATTTATCTTATGTTTAACAAAACTGAGTCTGGATTTATTATCTTTTCTACAACATCTTTCAAAGATATCACGACAAATCAATTGTTTTGTAATCTATAGAAAAGCTGTCAGCAGCTAATAAAAGCCAGAAATGTAGCTGGTATTATTCAAAGACATCTAATTCTTCAACTAAAGAAAAATTCATCAAAATACATCAAGATACTAAGATTTTAGCACTACAGATAAATCTGCAAGAGGCTCAGTTCATTTGGTTGCGTAGCATGACCACAAGCCCCTGAGACAGACACTTAGAATCACAGAACTGTTAAAGTTGGAAAAGACCTTTAAGATCATGAAGTCCAGCCATTAACCCAACACCACCACCATGTTCACCACTAAACCACATCCTCGAGTGTCATATCCACACATTTTCTGAACACTTCCAGGAGTGGTGACTCCACCACTTCCATGGGCAGCCAGAGTGCTCCCCCAGTTCCCTCCACAAGAAGCTCTCATCAGAGCTGGGTGCTAAGGGACAAAACAGCCTTTACTACCTCCCATTTTTTGAGAGCTGGCAACATTATATAATATTTACATAAGAAACCAAGTAGGACAACACTGCAAATAAAAAGAGAAGTTAAAATGTTCATTTTTAATAATCAGTTATAAAATTTGATATGTGGGGGGGGAATTGTCATGTGGATTTTTTTCCCCAGTGCCTGACACTTTAATACTCTGGCTGTTCATACAGACTAGGGAATGAGAAGCTGGAGAGCAGCCTGAGGAAAGGGACCTGGGAGTCCTGGTCGATGACAAATCGGCCCTGAATCAGCAGTGCCCTGGCAGCCAGGAGGGCCAACCCTGTCCTGGGGGCATCAGGGAGGGGATTGTCCCGCTCTGCTCTGCCCTGGGGCAGCTTCACCTCAACACTGGGGCAGCTTTGGGCACCTCAGTATAAGAAGGAACTAAAGCTATTGGAGAGTGTCCAAAGGAGAGTCATGAGGATGGCGTAGGGTCTGGAAGGGAAGCCTTAGGAGCAGAGCAGGCTGAGGGCAGAGCTCGGCAAGGGTTGCAGCTCCTCTCGAGGGGCAGCTCTGATCTCTGCTCTGGGGAAGCAGGGACAGCACCCAGGGAACGGCTGGAGCTGTGTCAGGGCAGGCTCAGGTTGGATCTCAGCAAAAGGTTCTTCCCCCAGAGGCTGTTTGGGCACTGAACAGGCTCCCCAGGGCAGTGGGCACAGCCCCGAGACTGCCAGAGCTCCAGGAGGGTTTGGACAACGCTCTGAGGGCCAGGGTGGGATTGTTGGGGTGTCTGTGCAGGGCCAGGGGTTGGACTGGATGATCCTTGTGGGTCCCTTCCAGCTCAGGATATTCTGTGATTCAAATGTACAGAGTATAAGGAAAGGCCAGGCAGCTCCCTTCATCAGCTAACCCACCCAGAAGTTACATATTTTTCTGTCTGTGCTACTCATCCTCAGCTTCCTTTATACACCATCGAGAAAGTCAGACATCATTTTCTAGAATAATTCAACACTCCAGAGGTGTGTTTCCCCCTCTGTGCACAGGGTGGATAGTTCAAACCCCATCTTGGAGCTTTAGTGACAACAGAACTCTGACCCTTTAAGCATTTGCAAAGGCTGGAATGGTTATCAGAGGGCTCAGTTATTAGAACAACTTAAGTAAATTATTTGCCTAGTAAACTTGGAGACATTTTAGCATGAAATCTCATTTGGTGAAAGGTAAAATAACAAAAATACCTTAATCTTAGCCAGCAAAAAAAGGAAAGGAAAAACACCTTCAGCAGAAATGCTATAGTATGGGGTGCTGTGTCATTTCAGTGACAAGGAAACTGCACAAACACAGCTATACCACAGCTGGAGAAAATTATGATCCCAAACTAAGAACCATCTGGCAAACTTCATGGGGAGACATCCAAATTAACAACCAGGAAAACAATTTTGTAAGAAATCATATTTTATAAGATGAAGTCCTCTCAAGAGATCAGTGCCCACCCACAATTTAAGTTACATTTGTGCTCTCCTACACACTCTTCTCTCCAACACCCTTGGTTAAGCCTAACATTGGCTCTTTAGTGAGACATAACACAGTAATTGCAGGCACCAAGAAGCCTTTAAAGTCACTTCTTACCAAAAGGAGGTAGTCCATAGGTCTGCGTGGTCTGGGGGTAGATAGTGTAGGGCGGGGACTGCTGTAGTGCTTGGTACTGAGGCTGACCAGAGTAAGGGCTCATTGTCTCCGATACTGGTACAGAAAGGATATGTGCATATGGCCTTAGTGAAAAGAGAACAAAGGTCAGAAAGAACTATTTACCTCATGCATCTTTCAGCCTCCAAACCAGAAGACACATTAGAAAATGGCTTCAGAAAGAAGAAACCAGTCAGACTGACATGTGCTCTGTACCATAAGCTCCTTGTGCTTCCCAAGGCAGGCTCTTGAGTTAACAGATGCTGCCAGCTTCCTGCAGTGACACCAGAGAAACTCCCTCCTCTGGGATGCTCATTCCAGGACTGGGAGGGCAGGGTGAGCCGGGAAAGACAAACTCCCCATTCCAACAGGCATAAGCAGTTAGTCCCACTTACCATGTCTTACCTAGAGCTTCTGCAATATAGTAGTATGTGTAAGAACTAGTGGGACACACACAGAGACTACACAAAAGCAAGCAGGGGGGGTTAAGGCCTATCCTGCTCCAATGGGACGAACTAAGAAAATCCCTAAACATGGTGAATGATGAGAAAATCTTATATTTCCCTTACATTTATTTATGTTCAATTTGTTTATTTGTCAAATATTATGGGCATTAATCACCAAGACTATTGTGAAGGAGCTCATTTATCCTTGTGATCATAAAACAACAGTCACTAAAGCCAAATAGTGACTTCTGCCAGCTTCAGTGTCCACAGCAATTAGTATCTGTTGCCAGCAGAATGAAAGTGGGATTTACAGCATTAGAGAAATGCATAAAGATTACTTCAGAAAGAAGTAAGAGTTACAGAATTCAGTAACAATTGCTTGACTTACTTTGCAGAATATATTTGTGAGGTATAATCATTTGATGACCTTGGGATATAATCAGTGCATGCCATAACTGAAAAAAAAATAGTTTGTATAATTACAGAGGTGCTTTCAAAACTCAACAAATAAAGACAAATGGCAGTACTCACGGTACATTTTAACCAAGACACAGGATTTACAAAGAGTTTAGTGCTCTGAATATCTGTTTCAAACACACTGTTAAACTGGAACAAAAAATGTACTTCTTGCCAGCTCACAGCAGGTAGATGAGTCATTCACACTATTCCTCCCTGTGTAACAGTGCTCTTTCCTCTTTATCAGTTGGTACCATCAAGTTTTGCCGTTGTCATGATAAAACTCTGATTTCAGTCCTGCCCAAAACCCTGCATATTTGCCAAAGGGGCTTCATCTGCACCAAGCATAACATTTCTGTGTCCCGGAGCAGAGACCAAATGCTTGTTTTGCCAAGGTCTCTTCTTCCCCTACATACTCTACCCCAGCATGGTTCCAGCAATCTGTCTTTCCTGTAAAAAGGAGTGGCTCAAGCTCCACAAACTTAGTCCCATACATCCAGTGAAGCACAGCTGCAGTGTACAAGGCCCAGAGATTCCTCTAAAGAAATCTGGCAGTTCCACTTAACCAGATGTTTCCATTTTTCTGCTTGAATAAATCCAGTGAAACTGGAAAGACAGAGTGGCTCAGTCTGCAAATCCAAGGAGGAAATGTTTCAAATGTTCTCACTCAGCACAGCCTGTGGCTCTGGTACACCCTGTGTGGGACAGCTCTCAGTTACACATTTCCGGGTCGGGGTGGAGAAAGAGGCTTGAGCTGCTATGGCTTAACCCAAGAGCCATTAAAAACCCCCTGGATTCACATGAACTGACCTGATTAAATACTCAGCTATCCATCAGACTAGGAAAGCAAGGATGGGCAGGACCCCAGCACAGAATTTGGCTCCATGCAGCCCCTCTGGCACACGCCACCATCGTAGTGCATGATGCTGCTGTGAGCTCCAACTTTTTTTTACTATGTATCTGCATAGTACATGGGTTTATCATTTTTGATCTACAAGCACCATACCCAAACCCTTAGAAAACACAGCTGCACTGCTGTGGAACCAGCTGATTCCTCTCTGGAAGCAGACAAAACACCCAGGGCTCCAGTCCTGCCCAGGAGGGGATCCAGGCTACAAGAGACCACACCTTCCCTCTTCCTCTGGAGTGACTTGATTAACAGCCTTCAGAAAGGCATATGGTCATGGATAACAGCATACTCTGCCTTGGGACTTGATCCAGATGCCAATGATGTGCTACAACAAGTTAGGCTTTCCATATCTGAACAGTCCTACGTTACTGTTTTTGTAGCACCACGTAGTTTAAAATGTCATCAGTTACACCCACTGAGCAAGACAGTCAGCACAGGCAACCCTAACTTTAACCCCAACCTTAATGTGCTTTCTGCCACCTCAACAACCCTCTCTCGGTGTAATCTGACGACCAGCATCTGAGAAGTACAAACCATCAGTCACACGCTCTGAACCTTCTGAATGGTCCATGAATCACCTTCCTCTGCTCCTCAGTGTTTGCCTTTACTCGTGGTGCGAAACCCACACAGCACAAGGATAGAACAGGAAACACAAACTGGGAACTTTTGGACCTAAAGGCTTTTTAACACTTGTCAGATGTTCCCATATCTCTCCTGCAAAAATGTCTAGCTTTATGGGGCTTTTTTACAGAATGTCAATATGCATCTGAATAGTAATGTAGTAATGATATTTCTAGAATTATTATTTTTAAAAGAGCATATAAAGAACTACGTAACGGTGTAAAAAAGCAAAAATTACACTGCATGCAATTTCTGGGATTTGTAAATGGCTTATCCAGTTAGGCAACATTTTGTAGGCTAAAACTTCTGGTAACTCCTGCAACATGGCAGCACACGGACTAAAATAGCAGAGATGAAATCAATTACAATGGAAAGTTATACATTCCATACTTCCAGTCAGGATGAGCTGATTTACACTTAGAAATAAGTATCTGTAGTCAAAGGCCTTCCACACAGGAATCTGACTTTCCTAATAACCTCCAGCCCTCTTTTTCCAGAAGAAAGGATACATTCCACTTCTCACTTACTATGCAGTCTTTGTATTTCCTGCCCGTTTCCTCGCTGTTTATTTCCTAACGGCTTTCTGCAGACATTCAATACAGTTCATAGTCTATTGCTACAAAAGACCCAAGCAGCTGTGTAGAGATAATGATTTATAAAACATCTTTTACAATAGGCATTATAATTGATCAACTCAACCCTCAAGAAAAATCATGCCTAAGGCAGATAAGACACAGCAGTACCCAGCAGCAAGCTGGGGGACAGTGACACAAAAATATCTGTTAGAAACAGCTATTTGCTTACCATCAGGCATTAACACTTTGTAAACACTACAGCAAACATTCACTTTACAACTGATAGCGAGGGCAGGCTAAGGATTACAAGGAGAACACAAAGCTTGTGCTTGATGAAGCAAGGGACCAGTGGAAGAAAAGAGGAAAGACAGTGGGAGCAGAACTCCGGAGATACTCACTCTCACTGGACATGGGAAGGTTTGAACCAAGGCTTGAAGATTCAGGTTTCTGATCGCTGATCTCTGTGTTGCTCACATGACTGCCAGGACAAACAAAGGCTCAGCATTAGCATTATGAACTGTTAAACTAACATCCTTGGGCATCTCAACCCCCAGATTCATAACACCCTTTCGGACCACGTCAAACTGACTCTTCACGGAATCTAGCCCTGTGCTCTTTGACATTTCACACAGAGATCCCAAGAGAGAGATCTGCAGCTGGAATTAGACATTAAACTATACAGGGTTTGCATGGCCAGGTTTTGGTAGTGGGGGGAACTGCAGAGGCGGTCTCTGTGAGAAACTGCCAGAAGCTTCCCTAGTGTCGACGGAGACAAAGCCAGCTGGCTCCAGGACAGACCTGCTGCAGAGGGAGCCCACCAGCGACAGTGGGTGCACCTGTGGGATAAGGTGTGTATTCCAGAAGGGGAAAAAACCTGCCAACTGCAGCTGAAGAGAGGTGTGAGGATATATGAGAGAAATAGCCCTGCAGAGCCTAAGATCCATGGGAAAGGATGGGAAGAGGTGCTCCAGCTGCCAGAGCAGAGCTCCACCTGCAGCCCACGGGGAAGGAGCAGCCCAGGGGAGGAAGGAGCTCCCAGAGCACTGCTGGCTGGCATCATACACCCCTCGGCTTCTCCAGCCCCCCAGCTGGCAGCAGCCAAGGAACTGCTGCCATGAGTGGTATGTGTGGCCCTGCTGTCACAGGCTCCTGTGCCCACGGGCGTTGCCTCACTGTGTTTGTCCCTGAAGACCAGTGTTGAAGCATCCTTGAACTGGGGGTCACTTCTGTACTTACATATTCGCAGGTTACCAGATTATTTTGGATTTGTCCTGCAATGTTTCAGTTCCATGTCAATGTTGCTTTGTTCATGTATAAAGTAGGAAGTACAGGTAATTTCTGAATGAAACTGCTTTTTCCTTGATGATTGACTTCCTGGCTTTAGTTTTATTATTGGTAGTTCTGCAACACAGCTTTTCATGAGGTTTTGAGGTATCTGTGTGTTTTTCTGACATTCTCAGACCGCAGTTCTCAAGATTAAGGAGACAAGGTAACTGCTTATTGCTGCTAAGAGGGAACTTTGCTTATAGCTCAGGTGTGCATCAAGTACAGTGCTTTCTGACTCCCTCCATGACCTGAGTCTACTCAACAAAAATAACTGCACAGGTTTTGTGTTGGATGAGCAAATTAAACTCTCAGGGAGAGCCTAAGGGTGTCTGAGATGACCTGCACAGGGAACACAGGGCCATATGAGAAATGAACCCAAATCTTAAAACACCTTTCTCCCACCACTCCCTGCTTCCTGGGCTCACTGAACTCCTGATTTTCTCTCCCTCCTCCACCCCTACCAGCGCAGGGGCATGGGAGAAACAGGTCCAATAAATTCTTTTAAACTAATCCGTTGGTCAAACTTACAATAATGTATAGTTTTATCAAAATAGAGCCAGAATATTTAAACAGAATATTTAATCAAGTTAGAAATGCAATTTTATCCTTCCCCCCTCTTCTATTTTTAAATACTATACAAGGATGTTTACACTCAAATCTCGAGCTCCTGGCACCTACAGGGAAGCCATGATTGCAGTGACACACGGAAGAAGGGACAGCATCCACCCCAGTGTGTTCAGACCTGCCCTTGGGCCCTTTGTAGCCAACACAGGGGAAAAAACCCTTGTAGGATGTGATTCCTCCAACCTCAGATTGGCCAGAAAGGAAGCTTGTATGACAAGCTCAAATTTCTAACTTTTGGAATATACCACGTCCACTCCTGCAGAAATGGTGGTGTTTCCTCCTCACTCCTATTGGGATGGCAGAGACTCCAAAAAGAAATCTTTCTTCACTGTATTTACTGTACCCAGAGGAACAGAATAAATCCTAATATAGCTATTCTCATTATAAGTAATAATAATAATTCATTCCTAAATACAATAACCTGCAAAAAGCATCTACTGAGGCTAAAAGAACACAACAGCTTTAAACAGGAGAGGCTACCAATTCGAGAGGGTTTCATTTCTCAAAGCAGTTATGCACATAGTTTTATTGGGAATCATAGCACAGATATTACTAAAATACAGTGAGTCTCACCAAAATAAATGCATGCTATGTGCAGTACATGTCAGTCTCATCACATTCTGTGAAAATCATCAGTCTTGATGATGCCATTAAGACTCTTTATAGCCACTATTATAAAAGCTTAATATCAAAGGGACAGTTAATTATTGTTTTATTTGGAACTTAATCTCAAAATTATATTAAACACAAAAGTGACTATATTCGCCCAAGCTCTGTGAAAAATGAAACAACAGGCAAGATTCTAAAATGGAAGCTTTATAATGATAAAAGAACATTAAGAACTCTTCCACACTAAAATCAAATTCAAAATCCCATACCTCAGGCTCTGTTCTCTGGATTCCTGCATCTTGGCTTTTTTCACCTGCAAAGAATAAAAACGTTTAGATCCATGACCACCAGGAGCTGCCCTTGAGGGAAGCTGCACACCCAGCCCTCCATCAGTACACCCTGGACTGGAACTTCTCAGGATGAGAGGCCATTGTGCCTTGTTCCCCCATGATGGGAGACCTTCCCCCTCTGTCAAACCATGCCCTTGGTGTTATACAGAGAGTAGTATTTTAAATTGTTCTATGACAGGTGATCAGAACTAGATGATGTTTAAGGTCCCTTTCAACCCAAACCACTCTATGATTCTATGATATGAGTTTTCCTTTAAGTCAATTGTTAAAGCCGTTTAAAAAATCAATAAATATCTGGACAAGTTTTCATCCTCTCTTCAGGTGGTCTTGGTACACGTGGTAGTCAGTGTGAGTGTGCAAACAGCAATTTTAGATTTCAGTTTATCATGTCCCTGCCTCAGCTGGCCAGCCTTGGCTTGTCCCCATTTCAGCAGGTTTTGAAAAGAAATTGTCCCTAATGTCTTTATGCTCTGCAATAACATTTACAAAATCTTGACCCTTCAGTGAGATGCAAACCCAATGCCTACCAATCACCAATCAATACAACTTATGCTACAAAGTGAAGTGAGAGGGAACAGTTTTAAACAGTCTTTCATGGCCTTGGAAAGCATGTTCTCTGTTTTGTGCCACATCTCTTAACACATATTTAATGCAGGAACAGCGTGATTTAGTAACCAGAACATAAGGTTGATGTCTGGGGCCCAAGGAGGGAGTGCTGTTATGGTGTGCTTCACTGCCAGCTGGGCCCTGCAAGATCCCATTCCAACTCCAATCCCCACCTGTCCATCCTTCTCCTGCATGAGCCTTAAAAAAAGCTGTGGAAACCTCTTCAAATGCCTTCTTTCAGCACACACTCCCCTCTGAAAACCTTTGGGAAAATGCTGAAGGTTTTTTGTTCCCTTTCAAGTGACAAGATCACAGTTTGAAGACTCTTCATAGAATCACAGGATGGTTTGGGCTGGAAGGGACCTTCAAGACTATCCAGCCATGGGCAGGACACCTTCCACTGTCCCACTGTGCTCCAAGCCCTGTCCAACCTGGCCTTGGACACTTCCAGGGATGGGGCAGCCACAGCTTCCCTGGGCAACCTGTGCCAGGGCCTCACCACCCTCTGAGTAAAGAATTTCTTCTTAATATCTAATCTAAGCCAAACTTTCAGTTTGAAGCCATTCCCCCTGGCCCTGTTCCTACATGCCCTTGCAAACAATTCCTTACCAGATATCTTGTAGGCCCCCTTCAAGTCCTGAAAGGATGTAAAAGTGAATTCACTCTTTTTAAAAATAAGGGAGAAAAGAAAGATAAAAACAAAAAAAAAAAATAAAAGAAATTAAAACAAGAAAATTATGGGGTCTACCTCAGGGTTATTTCAGTTTTAGCAACGGCAGATATTCTCTCTAAGCTGTTCTGCTGCACTGCAACAAGCGACATGTCTCCTAAAGTGCATCTTTGCTCCTACATCCATCTTTCTATTTTCCACCAGTTTGCAGCTTACATTGATTTTTATAAAAAAAAAAAGAAAAAAAGAAAAGAAAAAAGAAAAGAAAAAAAAAAAAGAAAGGAAAAAAAAGCGCCAAGTGACATATTCTAGCTGATCCCAGCTCCCAAAACACAAATTTCTATCACTGAAAATCCAAATAATTCTTTGTGCTGGCAAGCTCTGTTCCTGCCTCAGCTCTCCCAGCGCTGGAGTTCAGCTGTATTTACTGAGCCATAATCAAAGTTTTCCTCCTGTTGTCAAGAGAACAGGTGCTCTACAGCTGACTCCAGCTCCGACTGACATCGCAAATAATGACCAGGCCCAAGCTGGGGACACTCCTCACTCCCAGCTCACCCCCTCCTCACTCCCACTCCTCACTCTGTTTTCTAGCCTTGTGGCATGCACAGAAACTGTTTCCATTCTAATTCTGACTTGAAGAGGAAAGAAACACTCAAAAACCAGGGACCAAACACAAGCCTGTGCAACATGCCAGGCAGCAGTACAGGGCTAAATGATCAAACACTGAGTTAGAAAAAACACATTTTGGGACCAATTATTACCATCAGTCCCCACCTACACAAGCAAAGGACCCAATTTGTTTAATTAATTTTTTTTTAAAGTAAAATACATTGAACTCGAAGTCTGATGACTTCTCTACAGGCTCCTTTATGGCTTCAGTTATGAACAGTTTAACATAAACATTATTTTCTGAAGTAACTTACTGATCTTATTCTTGCAATTAAGAAAAACAAAATCATTTGTGAAAGAAAACAAGTGTGCACAATATCAGCGTTGAGCTACTCAGCTGATAGGATTTTGCAAACCTGACTTCAGTTTCCTTTTTTTTTTTTTTTTACATCAGAAAAATCTACTTGTTTCAGGAATGGCCTCATTATTAAAAAAAAAACCAAAACAAAACAACAAAAAACATCTTCATTCCCTCCTGTGAGAACGTGCCACTATACCCAAAATACTACCTCACATACTCTCTGTGATCATTCTAGTCTGATATTCTGTTGCAGAATGATTGACTGGCATCGCGTACTTAAAAGAAATTCCCGAGAAAATATTCTGTGCTGAAAATCACAGCACAATCTGCTTAGAGGATGCTTCCAAGTGTTGAAAATTAGCTGTACCCTATGTCTCATGCCCTGAAGAATAAAGACAGCTTTCATCACATGAGGATGTAATTAAAGGTATTTCCTTTTTTTAATACCGACAATTCAGTCTTAAATCTTACCAATAGCTGGAGTTCAAACTATATGATTTTGCTGCTCGTTACATTTTGTGCATATTACTCAGGCCCATCATCTGCAGGTTGTGGCGGGCAAGGTTCTGAACAATTGTAAATTTACATTTCCACTTGACTTTCCTAAGTTCCTAAGTCATAAAATTGTACAAATGACATTATAATGTATTTTTTAACTAATTTAACTGAACAACATAAAATTCTCACATTAAAAAAGCATCAAAATCTTTCCAATGAGAACACTCCCAAAGTGCCCTCAGTACATTATTCTGGTTTTGTGTGCAGTTGACAAGGTCTGCAAAATTTCAATAAGCTTCACTCTCAAAGTTAACTTGGCAATTTCTCACTGAGTTTCCATCAGGTTTAACTGGGAAACAGAGCATTAATACAAACATTTCTACTTAATTCCTATGCTATTATATTTTAGATATACTAATTTAATTCATCTCATGCTGTATTGATAATTATTCTACCCAACACTTCTGTGCTGTGATAATACCAGTTATTGATAATGCAAACAGTACTGCAAGTACTTCACAAATATGTAGCAATTTTAACCTTCCAACATGCTTCCCTACTCCAACACACTGTTAAATTAAGCTTTAAAAAAATGCTTTCTACCGGTGGAAACAACAGATCATAGGATCTTTTCAAGATCTCAAGCACAACAAGAATTAAAAACTATATACCCTGTAATAACCAGCATGCTGATTCTGTCCCCAAAATAGAGAATTTTATTTTCTCTACAACAGGTTTGAAATAGTCTGGTTTTCTGAGCATAACAAGTAATTATTTTGCATAGAAACATTATAGAGTTCAACCATACATAACTATTGCTTTATTACTATTGCCTGTGCAGTTATAGTAAATAAATGTACAGCACATTTTACTAACAGCAAAATGCTCTTTCTCCTCTGGATAAATATACTAAGAATAAGCCTTCTTTTCCGATATTGATTAAAATAACTGTATACTGAATTTGTGAGATCACCAATTTGTCTTATATTTTCATTTCCAGCCTTTTTTAAATGTACTTACTGGTTGTTCAGGTAAGTCTTGTGGCTCTTCCATGGGTATTACTATTTTAATGCTTAAATGATTCAAATCGTGTGTTCCTCAGCAGTCTTCAAGGCCTGTCAAGAAAAGGTGTTCATAGCTTTATGTACTTTTTGGGGGCTTATCATGTAGGCTATCAGAACATTAATTGTTATATACTCCTCCCACAAAACTCATGTTGCCATCTCCCAAATAAAAGACAAAATTCATATATGGAAAGATTTCATAAACAAGGGATTTAGCTTTAAGCTTCGAAGATACAGATTTTTCATGCACATGGCACATTTCTACATCATTTACTTGGGCCACACTGACTGCAGAAGCTAACATGCCAATCAGACACGTGCACCATGATTTTACAGACACTGTAAATGATCGAGTCTGCTCTACTAGGTCAGTAAACAGCATGATTCAATCTAACCTGTTTTAATTTAGAACATTTATATAACAATCAAAAAAAAATCAGGACAAGACTGTACACCTAAATGCATTTACACATGGTGCTGTTCCTTGCCAAATTCACAAAGCCAGTTCATTATTTCAATTGCACCTTTCAAAAAGAGAAGTTTGATGACATTTTATAAAATAATTTTTATTCTGGAAACATTTAGCAGAGAGATCTTACACACTACACCAAAGAGCTGCTACTGCTCAGGAGTTTAAAATCATGAAAAGGAAATTTCGCAGATTATTTTCACAACCTGATTAATTTTTGCAATTTGTTGGGCAAAAGATAAAGGCCTATGTCCTCCTGGTTTCCCCCTCTGCCCACCTAATGTGCATGAGCCGTGTGGCACGTGTGTCTGTTTTTTCCCCTTCTCATTTTGACACCACCTTATTAAAACCAAGCCCAACCTCTTCAGAGCAGCCTCCCCTGAGCTGCACCAACAGCAAGAGGTGTCCCCTGTGCCACCCCAGCAGTGCCTGCTCTGCCACACACGTGGCACGTTCCTGTACACACAGCACATCCTCAGGGGAGAACAGAAATCAGAAGAAATGCTGCAAAACACGAGGTGGGTTGGAAGAAATTAAATCCAGTGCCTTTCGGTCATAGGTACCTATTCCTGCCTCCACAGCCCCAAAACTCCGACTATAAATCTCAGGGGAAACGTGAAAGGCCATTTACTCGCTGCTCCCTCCACTAGGACTTTCTGTTTTCCCATCCTGTCAGGAGCATCCAGGCACCTTCAAATCATAGAATTGTTCCCACATAAAGTGACTGAACTAGTTTACAGAAACAACTTTCCAGCGTCCTGAAAACCACATTTCTCCCCCCCCCCCGGCCCCTGCCAGACCTACTTAACCTGGCGGCACGTGCAGCCCGCCCGTGGCACAGTCCCACGTGCCAGCCACAGGGATGCTCTGCAGCTCGGAATAATTTCAGATTAACCATGAAAACCCAAAGGGTTTCTCCCTTATTTGAGGACAGGTCTTAAGTGGCAGGGTGTATCATATATGCCAGGGTAAAATTTCATTGAGGGTTTGAGGATTTTGTAAGGCTGCCGCCCCTAATCAAAGCTACTTACTCTTATTGCCTGAACTGTAAGGCACCCAAATTCAAAATTAGTCTGTTCCATAACTCAGGTTCTTTGGAAATGACCCTATTCACAACACACAAGAAAGTCTACAATACAAAGGACTACTGCTACCTTTACAGTTTTTTCTTCATCTGTTTCAATCAGCCTTATTTTAAATCTAAATCTTATTTCCTTTTTACTGTTTTGGTAGGAATAAAAGAGAATAAGAGGAAAGTCAGGACTGAAGAGAAATTGCAGCATTCACAGATTATAAATAGGAGCACAGAATACAATGGCCAAGAGCAAGAAGAGTTGAAATTGAAACCAAGAGGTCCTGACCTGTCCCTCACTTTCATTATTTGACGCTGTTTTGTTGTGTAATTTCTTAGAAAAATCCCAGATGAAACTCTTCAGTATGGAAAAGTATTTCACATCCCACTGATCCATACAGCAGCAACTTCCCATTCCATGCTTTCCTTAAAAGCTGTGAGTAGTTCTTTAATTTTGACTTTGAGAAGGATTTAAATAATTACAAGACAAAAAGATTCCCGGAGTCCCACTGGAATATGTTACACTGGTGAACAAAACTCCCTTCTCAAACAAGTGGGAAGCACCTGGAACCAGATGACTGAACCAAAGCAGATGAACAGCAAGTGCCTGCCTCAATGGCAAGTGACAACTTGGCCTCTAGTGGCTTCACACCATCTCCCAGGGACACCTCGTACTCCAGGTGTGCCCGAGGCTGTCCTGATCCAGAGCGAGCAGCAGCGTGTGTGTCTCAGGGACAGGGAGGCACTGAGCCCCACACCTGAGAGTGAGGGGTGAGGGCAGCCCCCTCTCACACCACAGCACAAACTGCTGCTGAAGGGAGAGCTCCTGCCCCTCCTACCTCCAGCAGCCCACTCCTGCCCGCCTCACACTCCCTCCTTCGTGGCCACCAAAGACTTGTGTGGCTCAACAGCAGCCTGGATCTGGAATCTAACCCTCTGCTAAGGGAAAAGAAAGAAAAAGGAAAGAAAGGAAAACCAGAGGGACCCAAGCACAACCTTTTTACGAAGCTGTTTTAAGAGCAATCAGCTCTGGCCTTGCACAGCCCTGTGCTGGGGGAGCCAGCAGGATGGGCTCAGGCAGAGCACGAAAGCAGAGCAGCAGGACGTCCCTTTTCACCTACAGCCATAGGAAATGAAACCCTAATTTTACCATCTACTTGATGTTTCACTTTAATGAAGCAGAGACATCAGTCACGGTGATACACGTAGGGCTATGCAGCCTTTTCATCTGCATCACCCACCCAGTCATGAGGTTCTCCTGCAGAGCAGCCACGGGGTTTCCTGTGGCCAGGCACAAGCATGGAAAGTCCTTGGACCATGGGCACAGGCAGAACCTCTCCCTGACATCATCTCTGCACGGAGCCCCTCTGCGTGCCCCTGTCCTCCCGCACAGAGGCTGAGCGAAGCTGCTGACAGCTCCAGCGCCGAGGCCACGGGGAGGAGGATCCGGGGAGCAGCTGCTCCTGCCTCACTCATGTCCCCAACAGCCCCCTCCAACACAGCTAATCCCCCACTGCCCATCAGCCAGCCCCAGCCCTTGGGCAGGCATGTGCCCCAGGGCCCCGAGCCCCTCCGGGTGCCTCCTCATCCAGCAGCAGAGGGTCTGCATTGCCCAGGGCTTGGGTTTCCCAGAAAACAAACCCAGCACCTTGCACCTGCTCAGCCTGAGTTGCCACAGAGGAACAGACTGAGACAGCAGCTCACCAGCAACAAAGATGATTTTTAAAAACTGAAAATAAACAACTCTGGGTTTTTGGGGGGGTAGCATGTCAAATCTTGAAATTAGATTTTTAACTTGCATAAAATTCAAAGTAACTGCACTTCAGGTAATCTTATCACACAGTTTATCACAGAACACTTTTAAACCCTAAGTGACCAAAACAGCAGAGGTATCAAAGCAGATCTTTGATAAGTTCAGTTCTGCAGAGTCCAAACTGCTGCAGTCACACCCATGGGGGTGCCAGTGGCGGCCGCGGGTGCTGCTCCCCGAGGGGACTGTGCCTGCTCAGCTCCACGGAGAAGGAAGCAGTGATGGACAGCTCTGGGGGCAGCTGGGGTTTGGTCATGTTTCCCATCTACATATCTATTCTTACTTCTGTGTGAAGAAGGTCTCAAAAGCAGACTCAGATGGTGAGAATGCTTCTGCGGGCCACTGGACTTGTGAATGAGAAAATGAGTACAAAATGGAACCAAGTGTGCAAGAAGCCATCAAATGAGCTGCAGCAATGAAAGAAACATTCAGAAAAATGAGTCCAGTGTTCTGCTTCTGGAAACCAGCAAAGTACCACACTTCTTCCCCTTATGGTCTGATTTTTGTTAATTACCTGAAGAAAACTGTTCTGTAATATGTGAATTAAACACTATTTTTTATTTCATCTAGAATTGTTTTGAATAACCATCCTGTTTAATTCCAACTTGCACAGAACACCAACAATGCAAAACATCAAGGATCGGTGTTTTGTGTGACATTACATTTTGCTTGACCAATTTATGGAGCCACACCATCTAAACTTCAAACCAGAAGGTATCAAAGCAGAGGAATGGGTTGCAGAACTGCTCCCAGCAGCTGCCTGCCTTCTGCTATGCACATCTCGATGCTTAATTTACCTGGCAGGTGATGTACAGTTTCTTGCACTAAATCCTGTCTTAAAAATCCTAAAATACGAAGTCCAGCTTGGTCAGGCTCTCTTAAGCCAGATACTCTGGATAGAATTTCTGAAAGCTGCCCACTATGAGCACCAGGCCAGACTGTTATTTACTTCCATTTTGTGTTTTTCAAGCCATCTGCCTTGGTTTTGAATATAAAATTTCGGCCGAGAAACAGTTCTCCCACACTGCAAATAATTAAAGTTGGGATACTGTGATAAAACCAACAAGCAGTAATTATACTGATTAGAAAAAAAGCTGATTGACTATGGTCTTATATTACTTTAAAACAGTCACTATTTCCCTACAAATAAAGCTTTGGTCAGGGTAATGAAATCATATCTATTAAACAGAAAGTTGAAATAAAACCATAGAATCATAGAACCATTTATGTTGGAAAAGACCTCCAAGATCACTGGGTTCAACCACCACCCAGCAATGCCAAGGCCACCACTAACCCATGTCCCCAAGTGCCACACCCACCTGTCTTTTAAATCCCTCTAGGAATGGGAACTCTGCCCTGAGCAGCCTATGCCAGGGCTTGACAACCCTTTCAGGGAAGAAATTTTCCCTAATATCCAATCTAAACCTTCCCTAGCACAGCTTGAGGCCATTTCCTCTTGTCCTGTCCCTTGTTCCCTGGGAGGAGAGCCTGATCCCCCCCCCCAACTCCCCCCTCCTGCCAGGGAGTTGCAGAGCCAGAAGGTCCTCCCCGAGCCTCCTTTTCTCCAGGCTGAGCCCCCCCAGCTCCCTCAGCTTCTAGGTGTCATCTGCCAACCTGCTTAGAGTGCACTCGATCCCCTTGACCAGATGATCAATAAAGATATTAAGCAGGACTGGCCCCAACATCGAGCCCTGGGGAAC